GTTATTGGCAAAGTTGGGCAGAACCAGGAAGGTTCCCAGCCCCCAGGATCATCTGGGCAATCCTAGGGAAGTAACTCAATCTCTCTGAGCTTCTCTTGCCCTCATAGGGCATTCAAGGCTGACAGGCACAGATGCAAAGCACTGTACCTGAGGCATATTGCAAGTGTTCAGTAAGGCCAAATAAACAGAAGACTTGGGTGCCAGGGCCTGATGAATCGGAGCTGGAGCTCCAGGGTCCTGGGCTCTGGGCAGGTGGCAGAGAAAACCCTGATGACAAGTCCGGGGGCAGGACTGTGTAGGCTGGAGTGGAGAGGGCCTCTCCCTTTGTGTGCAATCATGTATATGCAGATACATGTATGTAGGTGTGGGCACACATGTTCACATGCATGAGGAGGTCAGAGGACAACCTCAGCTGTCATTCCTCAGGTGCTATCCTTGAGGTTTTTATTTGTCTGTTTTGGTTTTTTTCTGTTTGGGGTTTTTGAGATAGAGTCTCACTGTATAGCTATGGCTAGCCTAGAACTCACTATGTAGACCAGGCTGGCTTCGAACTCTGTAGTGCTGGGATTAAAGGCATGTGCCACCATATCCAGCCTCCACTTTGTTTTCTGAAGCAGAATATTTAATTGGCCTGGAATCGTCAAGTAGGCTAGGTTGCTACCAGCCAGCCTGGGATCTGCCCGTTTCTGCCTCCCCAGCACTGGAATTATAAGTGTGTATCACCATACCCAGTTTGTTTATGTGGGTGGGTTTGGGGAGACTAAACTCAGGTTCTCACAGATGCTTCACTGACCGAACCATCACCCCACTTGCTTTTGTCTACAGTGGTTTCTGTGGGTTGTCTTTGGCATCATAGACAACTGACTGGCAGTAAGTCCCTCAGGCCTGGGAGGTGGCCCAAAGTGCAATAAATAACCCCTGGGCACTCCAAGTAGCACAGGAGACTCGTAGAGATGGTGGGCTGCTCTGGCTCTGCAGAGACTCCAATCACTTCAGTGATCAAAAGAGCACCATTGCCACCCTCTCCACCCTCGCCCCTGCTCCAGTCATGCAGGTGACACATGACATGCAGTCGTCTCCAGCACTGTCAGAAATACCACGCTCTGTGGGGGTGAGGGCAGAAAGCCTGACACCAAAATCTAAACTTATCCTGGCTCCCCACGAAGACTGGCAAAGAGAAAAGTACAACCTTAGCAGAAAAGATCTTCCACACTTGGTTATGAGATAAAATCAGAGTGCATGATTTATAGGGAGAAGGAGGGTGTCCAGACTCTGACAGTCCTGGGGAGCATCCTTTGAAGGATGCCCGGTCCTGTTACCAGGAATGCAGCTGAGTGGCATTTCAGAGTTGTATTGTGTTGTGGTGACATGACAGGAACTGGAGTCAACTCAGTTTCTCGCAGTGGTCTTACTGCTTTTCTAGTAATCCTGGTCCCTTAGGTTCCTGAGCACATGCAGAGAGGCAGAAACCGATGGGCTCACAGGATCTTTGAACCTGGGCACAGAAGTTACTACAAGCCTCATGGAAGCGGGTTGCATCTTGGCTGAGTCTCAGTCACAGAAGGAAATGCATGGTGATTTTTATAAGCCCCAGGCATAGGTAATAACAACCTGGAGCTGAGGGTAACAGCACTGAGCAGGTGCCTCTGTGCTTGCCAGCCATGCTGGGCTCTTTGCAGATACTGCTTCATTTACCCTTCAGGGCCAACAGGCATTACCATCCCCCAAGGCACACAGGATGCTGCTAAGAGATTCACAAAGAGTAAGAAGAGATGGTGTCAAGCCGATGACTTCGGTTCCGCCTCCCGGGAGGAGTCTCATTGTGTGGAAGCTGGCAAATGGCACAACAATGCCTGCTGCCAGGAGCAGCAGGCTCAGGGTGACAACCCACTCCTCCGCTGGCAGGTGTCGCCAAGAAACACGCAACTCACCCAGTATGCCGAGTGGAACTACATTTTAGTCAGTCACACAGAGAAGAGACAGCACAAGAGCAACTTCAATAGCAGGTGTCTGCTCCACTGACCAGAGATCTCAGTCCACCACCAACACGAGGTGACAGCCTGCACACAGACTTCTGTGCTTCAGGTGAAGGTCCAGGTTCCCCCTCCACCTGAACAGATCTAGCAGGGGGCTGGCCAGGTGCCATATGACGCACAAGCTTAAGCAGAACAAAGGAGCACATGTTGAACCTGGAATGGAAAAAAAGATGTTACCAATGAAGTGATTCACCCCACACAAGCCCAGAGCCCCTCATCTCTTGGGGAGGAGTGGTTTCATGCCTCAGGCCACTCTCCTGAGACTAAGCAGAGGTCCAAGATGGAATGCACTAGACCACTTTTCCCCCATAGCAGGGACCAAGGTCACATGGTTGGGTCAACCTCTGGATTTGGACCCAGGTTTTTCTGGCACCACAGCCCAGGAGCTTTCTCATTGCATGTCTGAAGGTATATAGTTCTGCCCTGATCCTCCTCTGATCATTCCCTGGATTGCCCCCTTTCTCCTCCCCAGGACAACCCCATCAGCTAACAGACAACCAGATGCTTAAGAGAAAAGGTGGGCCAGGTGGGCTTCTGCATTGCCAACTTCAAAAGTGGAATTTCAGAGCCTAAGGTTCTCATGCCCAGAGGCATTCCTATGCTCAGACGCTGAAAGCAGAAAGCTGGGTTCTCACCAGAGACGGCAATGCATGAATGAAAAGTAATGCATGGGCACTTTTATATAAATGGACAAAAGGACAATTTAGCCCCAGGGGAGAAAAAGTGGAGGTATGTGAATTGCTGGTAAGAATCTAAAAAGGGAGACTGGAGAGATGGCTCAGCAGTTAAAAGTGCTTGCTACACAATCATGAGGACAGGAATTTGGATCTCAGCACCCACCTAACAAATTGGGCATCTGATACATACCTGTAACCCCAACGCTGAAGTGGAGGAGGAGGCAGGAAAGTGACTGGGGCTTTCTGGCTTCTAGCTTAGTGGAGAAAATGTGAGCCCCAGGTTTGGGGAGAGACCTTGCCTCAAAGGAATAGGTGGAGAGTAATAGAGGAGGACACCCAAAGCCTTCTTCTGGTCTTCTTGCACAGGCACACGTGCATACACATGTGTGCATACACACATATACAAATAAATCTAAAATGAATAAATAAATCTGAAAAAAAGAATCTTGAAAAGGTCAGATTTAGACCCTTTGTACAAGGTCCTTTGATTTTGTTTGAATATTAAGCCTCCAAATTGTTTCTATGAGGTTTTGGTGATACGACTAGACTGGGCTGGCTAATTTGGAAGAGAGTTATGGCCCATCATTTGCTCCCACGGAGCCAGGGTTAAAGGAAGTTCAGCAGATGATCTACGTCCACTACACTCATTTTAGAAACCACATTGCATTTAGCATTCAAATTTTTTCCAACTCCAGGAAACTTGCAGTTATTTCTCTGTGGTGTGCATTGCTAATGTGGAGGAACGGAGGCATCCATCCTCACAGAGTGAGGAACGCCCACACTGTGTTTCTTGTTCCCCACATTTGATGTGGAAACCTTACCAACCTCAGAAGAAGCTGAAGAAGCTATTCTGATATGCAAAGAATCCCATTCTTATTCCACTTGGCTCCTACTAATACTGTGCACTGCCCCCCTCCAGTTCTGTGAAGACCTGGGGCAGCAGGCGAAGGTCAAGAGGCACTTAGTATCTTCCTAAATATGGATGGGGGAAGCAGTGGGAGGCAGAGGACAGGTGCTGAATTCAAAGGCTTCCCACAGTGCATCAGGCCAGCAGAACAGTAATGATGAATGAGACAAAGAATTGTGTCCACCCAAGACTTCCGTATGGAAGCTGATTCATTGGGTTAATAAGGGTGCAAAAGGCAGAGATTGACTGTATTCTGATTTCATGGCTGAGGAATCCATGGCTCAGGGGTGGGGTGGGCAGCATCCGAATTTGAAGTCAGACTTCAAACTCCACCTTGGAGCTCCTGATTGCAATTTGGTTTGTCTGATGACTATCATCTCCTAATGACTAAGAATGCTTTCCAGTCAGATGGGACCTGAGCAGAAAGGGAAACAAGGCTGGATGGAGGTAGAAAATGTGACACTGGAGTCAAGAGGTGCTGCCTCCTCAGATCTATTTAACAAGTATGCATTGGAGGGGCTAGGACAAAAGAACCTGGTCTAAAGGAACACAGGGTAAAAGGGGAGAAGGGGCATGTGTAATGCATAGAAAGGGTGTGACATGAAATCCAAGAGGGAGTCATTTATTCTTATTTCATTGCGTCATTCATTTAGTTAGGACTCAGACCAACTGTCTAAAGACTGTCCCCTGGATATAATGGTAAATTAAACAGAGATGGGAAGAGGCTCAAGTGGATAAAGTATTTGCCATGTGAGCATGGGGATGTGAGTTTGGGTCCCCAGCATCCATGTAAAAAGCTAGGCACAGCTGCATGTCTCAGGGCAGACAGTTGGATCCCTGGAACTTACTGGCTAGCCAGTCTAGCCAAATTGATGAGCTTCAGGCTCAGTGAGAGATGGGCTCAAAAATAAGGTGCAGTGTGAGTAAGACAGCCGACAATGACCTCTGGCCTCCCCACACATGAACACATGTATATACACACAAACTTGAACATAATACACAGACACACAGACACAGACACACACAGAGACACAGACACACACACACACAGACACACACACACACACACACACACACACACACACACACACACACAAATAAAACAGTGGCTAGCCCCTGAAGCCACCATTCAAATATTAAGTCTGAATCTCCTAAGTAGACTTTGCTCCTAGGCCTCCTCCAGCCCAGATAAGCTAATTCCAAATCTTTGAAAGACCTCCCTAAATCTGAGGCTCAGACTGTAGTTATCCTCCAGCTCTGGTGCTAGTCTGGTCAAATAAAAAGGTAAGAGAGTCTAGGGAAAGAATCAGATATATGAAGGGACTTGTGGCCCATCACTTCCAGAAAGGCTACCCTGATCTGTCCACTGGATCCCAGTACCCTTTTAACCCAATCTCTGATGAACAACCTGCGTGCACTGTGATGTTTTGGGCTGACCAGTATATTTACTCTCTTCACTCCTATGTGTGTTGCCTCTGAAGATGTGTGCTCCGTATTCCAAGATCATTGTGATGAAGGTTCTTGTGACACAGAGCTTCCTGGCTCTGTTCAAGTGTGGGAAGTCAGGAGAGGCCCAGTTCCTTTGGGGAATGCAATTCATCTCCTAAAAGGAAGATCCCCTTCCCCAGTTCTTTACAGCTCACTAGGACTCCTCAGAAGAACTAGACACAGGCTACTCCAAAGACAGCTGGCAAGGAACATGACCACTCTCTCTCCAGAAAACAGCCTCTCTGCCAAGCAGTCAGCTTCCTTCATCCTGGTATGTGTCCTTTATTTTGTCTGGGATAGGGTCTCACTGTGCTGCCCAAGCTGGCCTTGAATTGCGGTCCTCTTGTCTTAGCCTTCTGAGTGCTGGGGTTGTAAGTGTGCATCACCACACCTGACTGGTACATGTGCTTCATAAGGCTCCAAGTGCCCCCCACCCCACCCCAGTTTCTGATTTGCATCAGGGCTCTTTTTCTCTACTGGGTGGGAAGGCAGGATCAGTTGTATCTGAGTCTTACCATCCGCACCAACCACAGGACTGAGACATTCACATGTCTTTTTTACCTTACCTGGAGATCTTAGAATCCAGTGTGACTTTTTCCCCAAATGTGTTATTCTAACTTCACTGAGTTGCAGATTTGTAAGGTCAAGCCTAAAGATGCTTTGGCACAGAGCGGTCAGCGTCCCTATTCCCCCTTCAGAGGATGGTGTGATAAGAATAGGAGGTAGGAATTGGCTAGGCAGTTAGGGTAAAAAGATCCCAAAGAAATGTAGCCAGTTTCTTGGCTAAAAGTCAAAACGTCCTTGGGCCTGTTAGCAACATACTCTGTTCCAAAGGCCAAAAATGTCAAAAGGATTTGGGAGCTTGTATCTAATCCTTAAAAGATTTTAGGGTTACCTCTTCAGAGGGGGGAATGTTGGAGGGGAGGGAGTGGGCATGTATTTGATCAAAACACCTTATATGCATATATGAAATTCTCAATAAAGTTTTTGTAAAAATTTAAAAAAAAAACAAAAAAAGATGCTTTGGCACTTTTGCCAACAATTTTGGTATGTCACCACCAGGTGGCAGTAGTGCTTCTGTTACCAGGTCACCAACCCAGTTAACAAGATATATCTATTTCTCAGTCCACCTGAGTCATGAAAATTTTCCATGCACTATTTTTTCAAAATCATAACGAATTATAATGACATCAACCAATCTCAAGACCCATTAGTCACAGTGATGAAGAGAAAGATACATAAAAATGCAAAATGAGTTCCTCTTTCCCCGAGTTTGAAACGTTACATCCTTTTGCAGATCCGCCAAGCCTTGAATTTTTTTTTTCCTTTCTTCAGTTCTGGGAACTTAGAGAAGGCTAATAATAATAAAAACAAGATGTCACACAGCAGTCATTGTATATACAATGACTGTTCTAAGTGTTTTATTTATAGTCATCTCTTCTCATCCCCACCCTCCTACCTAGGTGGATAGGGGATATATACTTTTTTAAAAAATTTTTATTAGTAGTAGTATTTTTATTTTATGTGTATGCGTGTATTGCCTGCATGTAGGTAAGTGCACCCATGTAGTGCAATGCCTGTGGAGGTCAGAAGAGGCTGTCGGATCCCCTGGGACTGGAGTTACCAACAGTTGTTAGCTGCCATGTGGGTGCTGGGATTCGAACCCGGGTCTTCTGCAAGAACAACCAGTGTTCTTAACCACTGAGCCATCTCTCCAACTCCTTTAAAAAGTGTATGTCCCCTATCCACCTAGGTAGGAGGGTGGGGATGAGCACACTGACAGTATACAGCTAGTGAGCAGCAGAGCTACTGTTTTAGACCCAGGGAGTGGGCTGCCAAGCTTCCTCATCAACCAATGATCAGTGACAATGTCTGTGCAGTTGAGGCAAGGCATTAGGGAGACCCTGCTCCCCAAGGGCAGACCAATGTCAAAGTTCCCTGTACCTTCTTGGTGCCGTGTCCCTATTCAGGCTCAGAAGATAAAATATGTGTGAGTTGTTTAATAAGGGGCTCTGGGACTGGAGAGATAGCCCAGTGGTTAAAGTGTTTGTCACACAAGCATGAAGACCAGAGTTCAGACCCCAGAAACCATATAAAATTCTGGGTGGGTGTTGTGGTCTGCCTGGAATTTCAGTCTCAGGAGGTGCAGACAGGGGTTCTCCAGTGCAAGCTAGCAAAGAAAATGAGCCATATCAGTGAGCTCTGATTTGACTGAGAAACCCTATCTCATTGAATAAGGTGGAAGAACAACGGAAGATGATTCCCAACATCAACTTCAGGCCTCCATATGCATGCACACAACACATGTGCACTCTCATAATACCTGTATGCCCCCCATACACGCAGATATACATACACATAAACATGCATACTACACACATACACACACACATTCACACACGCACACATGCATGCAAGTGAATGGAAAAAGGAATAAAAAAAAGGAGGCCCTTGACCCCACCTGATATGCAGATAGTGAAATTACCCACCCTGCAGCCAGGGGGCTAGGCCGTTACTGTTAATTTCTCATGCTTTTCTACCTCCTGACACCTCATTCCTCCATATGCTGTGAAGCACAGCAGCATCAGTTGCCTGAGAAACTGTTAGGAATGCATCCCTGTAGGCTGTACCCCAGATTTTCTGAATTAGAATCTGCATATTAAGAAGTCCCTCAAGGTACTGAAGAGATGGCTTGGCGGTTAAGAGCACTACTGCTTTTACAGAGGACCCAGGATCGAGTCCCAACACTCACATGATGGCTAACAACAATCTATATAACTCCAGTTCCAGGGGATCCAACCCCTCTTCTGACCTCCGTGGGCATTGCATGACACAGGTGCACCTATCTACGTGCAGGCAATACACTCATATACATAAAATAAAAATGATAAAATAAAGTATTAAAAAAAAGAAGTCCCTCAAGTGATTTGTATGAAGATTTAATTTAGAGTCCTGGGGGTACATAGTCAAGTGTTAAAGGGAAGATGGGAGCATGTCTGGTCAACTCTTGGGTTCTGTCTATCAGTACATCTGTATCTGTAATGTGCCATCTCAGAATCCCCTTCTCTTCAGCAGAACACAACACCCTGGGAAGAGGGATCCTTTCCCTCGTTCCCCAAGAAGCCTAATTCCTAGGTGCTATTTTATAAATACTTTTGCCTCTTGCTTTGCACGCAGTATATTTACTCCACATAAATGCTCACACTTGTATAAATACACAAGTGTGCATGCCACACACAGGCATACCCATACCCGACTTATCTCAATAGTTAGGACAGATTGTTTTACATTTCCAAGAAAGATAAAATTGAACATATGGATTATTTAATTAGTGCTTATCTTGTATTTTTCCATTATCAAAGCAGCACAATTATAGAAAACTATGAAAATACTAGAAAAGGGAAAGCATGTTTATATTCCCCTAAATTACTCAAAGATAATCATTGTAGTATTTTATTTTATTTTATTTTGAGACAGGGTCTCGTGTAACCCAGGCTGTGCTCAAACTCACTATGTAGATGAGAATGACCTTGAGCTTCTGATCCTCCTGCCTCCACAGGTGTATGTCACCATGCTCAGTTTATGTGCTTCTGGGGATCAAACCCAGACCTTTCTGTGTGCTAGGCAAGGACTCTACCAACTGAGCTACATTCCTAACCCCGGTCACTGTTGCTTTTAATGGAGGGAGTTTTCATGATCTTTTCTTTAGTTTTTTCTCCATTTTATTTATTTGCTGATGTTTGAGGCATGTGCCACCATGCCCAACCTTCAGTCTTTTTTTCTAACAATCTCCTGTATGTTTGAAGTTATGTGGTAGTTTTATTATATATAACAGACACAGTGCATAGGTGATAATACAGTGAATGCCGGTGTAGCAGGACCAGAGGGTCCATCACGTAAATGAGCAGCACTACTGTAGGACTGCAGAACACGGGGCGCAGGGGTGTAGTGCAGAGGGAGAATACAGAGTATTTAATTGTGTATTATGCTTTTTTGGTTAACATTTGTATTTTTCTAGATTATTATTCATTCCTTGTAAACATCTATTTATATGCTCACAATACTCCATGGAGTATATAAACCATAGTTTACTTAACTATTTCCTTATTGCAGAACATTTAGAGTGTTTACATTTTTCATTTTGGCAAGTAATGTACAATGAAATTCATTGTGCATACTGGACTTTTTTCTACTTATTTTCAGCAATTTCCTCAGGATGGAGCTTTAGAAGTGAGTCAGAGATTGTGAGCTTTGATTCCCAGTGCAAAGTCCAGAGTCTAGCATTTCAAAGTCTTCTTAAATTAAAAGGAAAGCCCAAGGTCCCTAGCAAAGGACTGAGCTGATTGTCCTTGCCAGGCAAAGAGAAACCCTCCCATTGACAAGACGGAATGGGACAGCTTCTTCGATGAGAATGGTCACTTGGCCAAATCACGGGACTTCATCTGTGTCAACATTCTGGAAAGGGTATGGTTCCCAGGCTACCCTCAGCTTTTCCCTGACACTAGGGAGTGGCATGGATGGCAGAGGTCAGACAAGACATTGGGCAGAGTCCTTCGGGCAGACACCTTGAGAGTTCATGGCCTCCCACCCCCAGGGTCTACATCCCTTTGTAAGAACAGAAGCCTGGAAGCTCCTCACAGGCTACTACTCGTGGCAGAGTTCCCGGGATGATCGGCTCATGGTGGACAGCAAGAGGAGGTAGAACGTTCCAGATCCTCTTTCAGTGAAGAGTGGATGGGGCTGCAGGTGGCAGGGGACCACTTAACCTATAGATTGAGGCTTCTTTCCCTGTATGAACTCATTCTGAGAAGGCCCCTGGCGTTTGCTTCCCAGGACCCACATAACAGTAGGTGTGGCCAGTTTCACCAAGGTGCCTCCTCTCCTGCTCCATTGACCAACCCAGTAGCTGCAAACGGGGGCTTATCCTAGCAACTCCCTTTATCACTGTCCCTAAGGCCTGTGCATTCTACCTGTGAAGGACCCTAGAAGTCTTCCCTGGGCCTAATCCCCACACCTGCCAAATGCCCTATGGCAGAGCTGCTTCCAGGGTCTAGGTTCCTCCTCCCTGCCCATCTCGCATCTCTTGGTAGCCAATGTGGGCTGCTCACATCCTAGGATAAATATTTCAAATAGCCCGTCTCCCAAGGCCTACTCTAATCCTTGCTCCCCCATTCTAGTACATTCCATCTGATCACACCAGATGCCTGGCTCTCCATATGCTTAGCCCCTCACCCCAGCAGAGCTCATGTTTGTACTACTGTTCTTGGTTCACTCTTTCTCCCTCCACTCACACTGACGTCCCCATCATCTGCCTTCCAAGACCCCACCCTTGGGCCAGTGGGATGGCTCAGCAGGTGTTTGCCACTGAACCTGATGACCTGAGTTCAATCCTCAGAATCCACATGGTGGAAGAGAACTGACTCTCACGAGTTGTCCTTTTACCCCTTCACATGCTCCATGGCATGTGAACACACACACACACACACACACACACACACACACACACACAGAGTATTTGCAGAAACTCCACCCTTGCTTTAGGCCAAGATTATACAGGGAATTTCCTCCAATCAGCCCTCCAAGATCTTCTGTATATAGGTAGTACACAAGCTTTGAACTTGAACAGCCTTGAATTTAGAAATGAGTTCAAATTGTAGCACTACTATTTATACTCTGTGTGAACCTGCCCATGAACTTCCCTGCTGAAGTCTCAGTCTTCTCCTCTGTCAAAGGGGGGGGGTCACAACAGTTTACAGAGTGGTTGTAAGGGTCTAATTAAAATCAGTCAAGTCACTGTGCAAAGGGAAGGGATAACTAGTACATACATGTATTGGCTGGAATGTTCCCCCAAAGCCAGAGGCTGCTGTCTTACACTTCAGTGACCCTGGGACTTGGCTTTGCAGTACTGGGATAGAGCATACCCTTCCTGCCAGGCTGAGAGCACACTGGGGCAGAGTTTGCACCTCATCTCACTGCGGGTCTCCTCTGTCCATGTGAGTGCTTGGGGTGGGCTGAGTCAGAATGACCTCACAGTGATTGCTTCCTCCTCTTCGGCTGACTGGCTGATTTAGGAGTCTAGAGTAAGGGCTGTGCTCAGCCCTACAGTAGCTCCCAATCAAGATACAGAAGACGCAAACTATCAAAGTGCCACAAACAGGGTAGCTGGCAACAGACGTTTTTTACTCTGGCATCTGGAGGCAGAAGACAAGGACAAATGATGGTCTCCTGTGAAGTCTCTGAGAGACCATCCTTCTTCTCCACATCTCTCCAGGCCTCCCAAGGAAGCATCCTTGGTTTGTGGCTGCATTTATCCACTCTCTGCCTCAGTCACCACATGGCCTTCTCTCCCTGTGTCTTTTACAGTGACATTTGTCATTTTATTTAGGGTCCCCCTGGAAAACCCAGGATGATCTCATCTTGAGATCTTTATTTAATCATGCTGGAAAAGATCCCTTCTCCAAATAAGGCCATGTTCATAGGTTCTGGGGGTTGGGACATGATACCTTTTGGAGGTCACCAGTCAGCCACTGCACCAACTAATCACATTGTAATGGTGAGCTTGAGACTTTATTTCAGCTTGTCCTTCCAACTCCGGGAGGTATGGGTACCAGTATGTCCCCATTCTGCAGATGGGGAAACTGAAGTAGAGAAGGAAGGTAACATCCTTTGTAGATACTCAGTTGGTAAGTAGTGGGTCTAGGGTTCCTGTGCAGCAGCTTGGACCGCAGAGACTGTGTTAAGCTATCTCCACACTGTGCCAGGTATACATTGGAGAATGCTTAAGGCTAAGATGGGGGAAGACACTGTAGGTGGGGGCAAAATGGGCCCTGCTGCCCCATCTCCCTTGAACATAGCAGTAGCTGCTGTTCAGTTTTCCCTTCTTGGAAGGGGAAGACCACTCGATTCAGCCTCAATGCTGTTCTTGCAGGAGGAACTATGAGGCCTTATGTAAGATGTATGAGAAAATTCAGCCCCTGCTGGAAAACTTGCACCAAAACTTCACAGAAACTCAAAACAACATTGGTGAGCAGTGGGAGTGGGAAGGTTGTGCAGAGAGGAGGGCTGGAAGCCATCCAGAAAGACCTGGGAAGAGGTGAGGGCCAGAAGCCATCCAGGTCTCTTTCCAGTCATTTCCAAGGAGAGATGATTCCTGGGACCTTGAAACTGCTTGACTTGGACCTGGAATTTCCCTAGCCAAACCCAGATCAATCCAGCCACTCATGCCTATGGGTGTTCCTACATTTATTTCCTGCCATCTGCATGCCCACTGCTTTGCCTTCCTTTCTTCTCTGGCTTTGAACTAGGTTGGATCTGAATTATATGGGGAGGAGCATTCCTTGGCAGAGGGTATAACCTGGTTAAAGATATCAACGCGAGGAGAAACCCAGACAGCTCAGGGTGTGGTGAGGAGTTGAGCCTGGTGTGGCTTATGTGTCTTTCTTAGATCCCTGCTAGGATGTCTTAGGAGCTTTCCTCTTAAGACAGGAGAAAAACTCATCCTTGGATCCTCTGCTGGAGATGATCTAATGCCACCTCCTGTCCCTTGCTCCAACCTAGCATATGACATCCAGAAACTCTACGACAAAGACCCGCTGGGCAATGTGCTCATAGATAAGAAGAAGCTGGAAAAGATCCTGCTCCTGAGTTATGTCTGCAACACGCAGGCTGGTAAGCCTAGGGCTGAGCCCCAACCCACACTTGCTAGATCCTTCTTGGGCCCTGACCCAGCTCCCATCAGCTCCCTTCACCAGTGCCCTCTTCCACAGAGTACCAGCAAGGCTTCCACGAGATGGTGATGCTTTTCCAGATAATGGTGGAACATGACTATGAGACCTTCTGGCTCTTTCAGTTCTTTCTGCAGAAAACAGTGAGGGCTAAACCAGGCACCCATCTCCCACTCCCCACTGCCTATCAACCCCAAGGCATCAGCAGCCTTAGCCACTCTATCCAGCCCTCAAATAACTTCTAGGTCAGGAGGTGGGTGGTGGAAGTATTGGAGTCCAGAAGGGGTTGGGGGGCAGGGTTCTGGGTCCCACTCTCAGCAGGCCCAAGGATGGCGTCCTCTGCTGGCCTTTCCCTACTCAAACACAGCTTTCCATCCTGCCAATCATCCCTAGCTTCCCAGGCCTCTAGAATAAAATCCAATATCCTTAGCCAGGTCTCTAAGGCCTCCTATTTGGTCCTGCCCCCCTCTGCTCCTTCTACAAGACCTACAGTCCAGACACAGTAACATCTTCGTGCACCCAGGCTGTGGGGCTTTGTTGGCAGTGCCCTCAGGAACACCACTCGGACTTTTTTCCTGACCGTCCAGAAGCTGCCCGCACCACCTCTTTCTACCCCTGCAACAATGTGCTTGCTGCTCTTTCCTTTCCCACTTGGCTCTTTCCTAATAACTGCGGATCACTGGATTGTGAACCGCTTTGGAACATCTTTGCAGCTCTACCCCACCTCCCACATGTTAAGTTGAACATGTACACACACATGGCTGCCCAGAAATGCACACATGGGCAAACAGACACACCTGCACACACACACTAGAGACATAGATATAAATTTACACACATGAATGTACATACACACACACACTCATGCAAAGGCACGGACCCTGCCTGCAGCCAGACACACAGACCCTAAGAATTGGAACTGAGAGGTAGGCCTTGGCTCCATGATGCTCTCAAATCGAACTGAGGAGCACTGCCTCCCTCCCGGGTCCCATTTATGCAGGAGCACAGCTGTGTCATCAACATTGGGGTGGGCAAGAACCTTGACATGCTAAGCAGCTTGATCACTTTCCTGGACCCTGATTTTGCTGAGCACCTCAGTAAGTGATCCCCATTTGCTACCATTCCACCCCACTAGAACAGCCTTGTGGGAAGGTCAGAAGTTAGCCTGCCTCAGGTCCAGCTAGCTGAGACTTCTCCATACCCTGTGGGGAGGACCCATCTAGAAGGGCCTGTATCTATAACGTTGAACATTTACCCCAACTAGTCTCCATGACCAGTTGGGAAAGTGCAGCTGGAGTTGTGTGTCCTGTGTTTTGCATGCTTTGTGGTGTGGCCTTGTCTGTGTGATGGTTTTAGCAAGTGTTACTCCTGTTACTCCTTACTGCTGTCTCCTTGGCTAGCACCTGCTTCTCTCCCCACAGAAGGGAAGGGCTCGGGGGCCGTGCAGTTCCTCTTCCCCTGGTTCTGCCTCTGCTTCCAGCGTGCTTTCAAATCTTTCGATGATGTCTGGAGGCTCTGGGAGGTGAGGCGCACAAGGGGAGCACTTGAGATAGGCCCCACCCTTCCTGCATCAGGAGGGGAGACTGCAAGTTTTCCTGCCTCCCTCTTTCTTCCTGAATACCTCTTTGGATGGTGTTCAGTGGTTTGGGGTTTTATTAGACCTGCCTCCCTGTTCCCACCTTGCTGGTGGAAGATGGGCCATCAATCTATCGATTCTGATGCAAAGGCCCCACCGACTGAGCCTTCTGCAGGGCATTTGCCAATGTGTCTGGCCTGACTTATAGCTCAGCAGCCCTTGCTCTCAGCTCTCCATTGCCCTTCCTTAGGCTTTTCCTCCCCCAGCAAGCTGGCACCTCTCAGAACCCTCTCTCCTGAAAAGGCAGGCCTCAAGGACACCTGTAGTCCTCCAACCACAGTCCTCAGGGCTACCAGCAGATGACCATCCCTAGAAACACACCTACTACCTGTTGCTGTTCTGCCCCATGGCTGCCCCTACTTATAGGATCCAGCCCAACTATCAGCCTGGCATGTAGTACCCCATAAGCTAACTCCCACCTGCCTCATCTTTCCTACCAGGCCAGCTGGTCTCCATGCCCAGATCTAGTAAGCACCCCATTCCCACCCCAGGCCTTTAAAGACACCCTGGATTTCCCTTGAATCCAGCTGCCTCCATGCCTGAGTGCATGGTTGGTGGTAGCTGGCTATCTTCAGGTTGTCCCAGTCTTGGGCCACAGGGCCCTGGCTGAGGCCTGCTGATTGCCCACAGGTCTTGCTTACAGGGAAGCCCTGCAGGAACTTTCAGGTGTTGGTGGCCTACAGCATGTTGCAAATGGTGCGTGAGCAGGCGCTAGTGGAGAGCATGAGTGGTGATGCCATCCTCCTGGTGAGAGCACCCTTGATCTAACCACACTCACGTTTCTGAAGCCTGACCCCTATACCCATCATACCATTGAACAACACAGGCTTAGGACATGCTGGTTCTTGGCTGCCTTTGCTTCTGGAAGGAAGAAATGGCAAGAGCTGTAGTATGGAGCTCTATGCCAATGGCTTTTAATCAACTAGATCCAAACATCTCATAACAAGTCCACCACAGAAGCTGTATTGATCTTATCATTCAAGTTAGCATGTGAAAAAATAGAGGTCTTGAATGGTCTAAACATTAAGCATTACTTGCTTCACAATGACCACTTGTGGTAAAAGGACCTATGGTTTCCTGATATACTTAAAAAGTAGCTGATGGGTCAGTGGGATGGCTCAGCAGGTAAGGGTGCTTATTGCCAAGCCTGACAGCCTGAATTTGATCCCTGAAACCCACATGGTGGAAGGAGAGAACCAGCTCCTGCAAGTTGCTCTCTGACCACATTGCACACGGCAGCAAAATTACAAACCAAGTCTTCCTTAGGACCCTGAGTCATATAGCAGAACCCCAGTACTTCCTAGACCTCAGTGTAAGAAAGAGCTAGGTATACAGTTTGCGGGCACCATGCCAGGCAGGCTATCAGGCGATGCCTAATAACTGCCATGAGCACAGCTTTCTTCCCTTTGTGCTGCCTGTGCCCCAAAACAGGGAGAGATGTTTGTTTATACACATGCCTGCACACACATGCACATGTGTCTCCCGCTCAGGCCTGCAACAACCTCATTGATCTTGATGCTGATGAGCTGATCTCCACTGCCTGCCTGGTTTATGCTGAACTCATGCAAAAGGAGGTAAGGTGCCCAATGATTTGCCCTCCTTGCCCTCCCCCCATTTCTCCTCCTTTTGTTCCTCCCCGAAGAAGCCTTCCCTAGTCTTTCATACCCTGCCTGCAACAGGCACATTCAGCTACAGAGACAGCCTATACTCCTTCCCACCAACCAATGGAAGTTCTGCATGATCTTCATATCTTCCTGGGTAGCCTGCTTCCTAGGCTCATAGCCCTCATCTCACATTCCTGGTGCCCTCTCTTCTCAAGGGGTCTGGACACAGGCCTGGGCTTCTAGGGAATCCAGGTAGACCAAAAAACACTAGCAACAGACCAATCAATGTCTGTCTACATCACACATCCATGACTCTCCTCTTCCCCAGGTTCCTCAGCCATTAAAGGATTTCTTTCTCTGAGGATACTGACATCCCCAATGGACGCCTGGCCTGAATAGATTGGATGAAGGTAGTTCTTCAGTCATGGGGTCAGGATTAAGTCCAGTGTGTGTTGGGGTGAGGGCACAGACAATACAGCATCATGGAAGCAGCCTTGTGATGGGTCTCCTTTGATCTGGAAGTACTTGAGGGCTAAGACGGCACAGTACATGAGAGACCACTGAGAGGCACACCGAGACAGGCTAGTGTGGGACAGCCACTCTTCCTGACTGATGGATCTCTAAGGACACAGTGGGTCTACATCTGGAAACATCTGGTTAGAGTGGAAACACCTAGACAATTGTGGAAGACAATGGTAATTATATAAGGTTGGCAAAATGAAAGACAGACAAGGGAACAAGTGACTTCATGACAGGATGGCTTTTGGGGGAAGAAAAACCTGCAAAAATGTCTCTGGTGTGAGAACGAGAGCCATCAGTAAATTTGTGGAAGGCCCCCAAACAGCTGCCCATTACATCAAGTTCAGGCTCTCTAGACATTCCTTCTTTGGGATGGGGAGTTGGAGAAGGGTTGGCTGGGCCAGGCCTGTGGGGTTTCCAAGAAGTCCATCTGCAGAGGTGAGCAGGAAAAGTCAAAAGGGAGCTGGTGGTGCAGACAGGGTTACTACAGCAGAGAAGCCTGGGTGTTGGAAATGGGCACGTGTACATGAAGTCAGCCAGAAGCTGTGCAGGCGGCCTCCCCACCTGCCATGCACAGCTCTCTCTGGACCTGTCTCAATGACAAGAAGATGGACTGAAGCAAGACAAAGCAAAAGAGAAAGCAATAGAATTTCCTGCTTGTGCAAGGACTGTCCTACCACAGGGCCGCCACCAACCGTTGATTTTGAGACCTCAGACTAGAGTTTCTCACCTATCTGGGGCCAAGTAGCCAACAGAGGGAAGAGACCAGCAGACAGAAATGAGGGAGGCTAGTGACAAAGGAAAGGAGAGAGGAGTTCCTAGCAGTAGCTTATAGTCTTGCACGTGAGAAGAACTAAGGTAGTTTTTAAAAAAAAATAACCAATGCCCAGGGCCTTCCAGTTAAGACTCGAATAGCTGGGGGTGGGCCCAGGGTGCTGGTATTTTTTTTAAACCCACGTGATTCTCTATGGCAGTCTGGGATGAGAGACCCTGAGTACCAAGCCCAATGGAGAGGATCCATTCATGATCTGCTGTCTGGTGTTCCTTTTCACACAGAAGAGTCTCCCCTACCTGTGATGAGGTCTCAAGATCTTGCTTGAAATTTCACAGTGAGTGGACTATGGTCCAGAGAGGACAGGAGTGACTTGTCAGGTCTCTGCTCTGAACTGACACTGAGGAGTCGAGCCCCTCTCTGTAGGCAATTCCCCATCCCACTACACTGAAGTTCCTCGTATCCTCTCCTGACAGGTTCTCGACCCTGCCTCCCCACCTTGCCACCTAGAGCACTCCCCCTGGATCATTCTAGAAATAAGCATTTCAAGTTCTTTTCTGAACCAGCACATAAAAGAATTTCTTGGCGGTGTAGAATTAATCAGTGCCCAAGTTTTAAAGACCTGACCCTCACCTGCAGTGATATGTAAATGGTACCCAAACACCCACAGTGCAGTATTCAGAGACTGGGAGTAAATAGATGTAAATGTATGCGATCATTATGCAAACAAAGGCAGCCCCAGATTAATGGCTCCCATCCATCAACCAGGCAACAGCTGTCTCTTTAGGAATAGGCTTGGTGACAAAGAGGGCTGAATGGACCCCTGTCAGAAACATCCTGAGGAAGGGTCAGCTCTCAGGTCAAGAGGAGGAGTTGTTCAGACACCTGGCTTACTCATCCCCTGCTCTGAAAAGTGTCTATAGCCTGACAGGAAGTTCTCTGAGGAGTCCTGGTCTGAGTCCCAGTTTCACTGCTAGGCCCTGAACGTTGGAGGAGATGGTGGTGGTAATGGGGATTGGTGATGGTGATGAAGGCTTTGGAGAGACAATGGTGAAAATGATAACAGTTGGAAATGCAGATGGTTGTTAGTTACGGTCACACCATTCTGTAAGGCACCTCCAGTTTGGTTAAACAATGACAGTTCCTGAAACTAAAGTTATTTGATTCCCAGAACTAAGTAATTTGTTTTTCTAGATTCTTGCCCTTCCCACATATCCCCAGATGTTTATTGATAACCTAACTTTTTTTCACTTGACATTTTTTTAACCAACTACTCGTCTTATTTCCCTAGCTAACTCTAGCAATGTAGGCCAAAACTCAGTCCCCTTCCCCTTCCCCTTTCCGGCTCTGTAACTACCCCAACCTATAAGTAGACAATGGGCCCTGGTTTTCCTACTCCAGAGACCATCTCTGCAGGTCTTTTCCAGATAGAGCCTGTGCTGTCATTGAATCCTTCATTCCTTTGCCTGTCTTTCCTTCTTACCAACTTTACCATGGTCCCTGACTTACCATAGAATATACAACTTTTTGACTTTATGGTGCAAGACTGATACATATTCAACAGAAACCATATCTCTGAATTTTGCTTTTTTTACTTTTTTTTTTTAAACTACAGATTAAACCTAGGACCTCATGCTAGATAAGATATCTACCACTAAGTCAACTCCCCCTTTTAAAATTTTTTATTGTGAGTCAGGGTCTAGCTAAGTTGCCCAGGCAGTCCTTGATCCTGGCATCCTCCTCCCTCAACCACTCAAGTAGCTGAGATTACAGGCCTGCACCAACAGATCTAGCTGAATTTTGCCTTATAGTTTCTTCTCCGGGTAGCCACAGGCAGCACCATGCCCTCTTCCACTGTGCACCTACACTATGCTGTTCCTTATATCAAATGTATTAGATGCATTTTCATCTTAGGATAGTCTCAGTTCATGTTGGACTTACTCAGGCATAGTCCCATCATAAGTTGAAGAGTATGTAGCTGAGAAGATGGTGAAGGTAGGGGCAACGGTGAAGTTTCAGTGGAATGATGTAAACAATAGAGAGAATGGTGACAACACAGGTAAAATGGGTTTGGAGACGGTGACTGGTTCAAGCACAGTGGTACTGGCCATGGTAATGAGGATGACAGAGATGGAAGGGTGAGATTTGATGTGACGATGTAGGGAATGTGGAGATGGCAGAGTTAATGTTAATGCAGTCATCATGGAAAAGATGCCAATGAAGAGTGCAGGTGCAAAGTCATGGGGAGGAGAAGTGGTGTCAGGGGTCTTGAGAGGGACAGAACCAACAGACTTACACATACTTGTTAAGAGATATTAGGGAGATTGACTGAACAACTATAGTGGCTAATAAGTAAGTCCCAAGATGGCACCATCTACAAGATGGAGACGCTAATGCTGGCAGCACAGCTCAGTCCAAGTTCAAAGGCCTCAGAACCAGGAAAGCCAATGGTGTAACTCACTCTGGAAGCTGAAAGTCTGAGAACCAGGGGCTACTGGTGTAAGTCCTGGAGTCCAAAGGTATGTATTTAAGCTCTCCAGCCTCTCCAACAATCAAATGGTGACTGCTGCCACTGAGAATGGATCTTCCCCACCTAGTCACTCTACTGCTCACTTGTTCATCTTCTCTGGAAGCAACCTCACAGACACAAATAACACTTGAGGCTTCTAGGTAATCCCTAAGCAGTCTAGTTGATACCTAAAAGTAACCATTACAGCCAGAAGACACTGCAGGACTCTGCAACATTATTGGAGCCTCTTTAATCCCCCCAAAGAGTAGCAGAAGGCCTCTCCAGGATTGGTAGCTTCCCACAGTAAGGAGGTAAGGTAAGGCCTCTGGAATGGTCCAGCTGCTCTTTCCTAAGGAACCTGCATTTGCACATGACATCCTGCAGGGGGCACTTCTCCACAAGCTCCAGACTCCCACCAGAAGGGAGGGGCCTGCCCAGGGGAGGAAGTTGTGAGAGGCACTGGGCAATCTGTGTGCTCTACCCAGAGTCGAAGGGAAGAAGAAGAAGAGTCCTAACTGCCTGAGTGAGAGCTGCACTGTTGTGCAGAAAGAAGGAATCTATTGCTTGTGGCTCTCAGAAGTAGTAAGCCTTCCATTCTGACTGCAGACTTCCTGGGAAGGAAACTTGGGGCCAGTGCAGCCATAGGGACCCCTCAGAACTATTCATAGCTCCAGAACCTCATGAACAGGTGCAGTGAGGACCATGTCTGCCTCCACATCCCCTTTTTTGACATGAATTCCTCCCCTAACACACACACACACACACACACACACACACACACACACAGTGATTCAATGTTCAATATTCATCTCACTGACTCAGGTGGTGGTCCATTTTTCTTAGGGTATTCTGAAGAGTGCAGAAGCCTAAGGAAGGGCTATTTTCCTAGGCAAGGGAGCTACTACAAGAGCCTTGCTCTTGGCCACAGGACCAGCCAGAGGAAGAACATTGACCATTGGCCATGGTCAAGGCTCAGTGTGGGACTGGAACCAGAAGCCACCTCTGATACCCTAGCCAGTTTCTAAATGTGTCCTGTCTCCCAGTGTGAAAAGCCATCCAAAGGCCTCTCCAGTGCTTTTGTACATCCAAGACCGCCAGTGTGCTCAGGAAACAAATATGAAGAGGTATATTTCTAAATATTATGATTGCCACATTAAACAAGTGAAGAGTCAGGCAGGGTGGAACAGCCCTATAATCTTAGCTCTTGGGAGTCTGAAGCAGGAGGCTCTAGAATTCAAGGTCAGCCTGGGTTACACAGCAAGACCTTGTCAAAACAAAATTTTAAAAGCAAAAATAATCTCCAAAGAAGAAATAAAGATAGCTAAGAAACACCTTAAAAGTGTTCAATATCCTTAGTAATTAGCGAAATGCAAACTAAAACCACTTTAAGATTTCATCTTACCCAGAAGACTGGCTAATATCAAGAGAACAAATGATACCAAATCCTAGAGAAGAAGTGGAGAAAAGGGAATACTCATTCACTGCTGGTGGGATTGGAAATTCATATAACCACTATGGAAAGCAGCGTGGAGAACTCTTTAGAAACTAAAAATGAACTTACCATATGACCCAGTTATACCACTCCTTGGCATATATCCAAAGAATTCATCCTACTGCAGAAATACTTGTACGTCCATGTTTGTTGCTGCTCTTTTCACAATAGCTAAGAAATGGAAGCAAATTAAGTG